CCAAGTAGCTGGGACCACAGGCGCCCGCCACAACGCCCGGCTATTTTTTGGTTGCAGCCGTCATTGTTGTTTGGCGGGTCCGGGCTGGGGATTCTGATTATTATACTTAAGAAAACTTGAGAGCCAACAAAAAATATTCGTCAAGAACAGCAAGATTTTGAAGAATATTATGAAAACTGAATAAGCCTGAGGCAAAAATTCTATTGTCCCTGTGACATACACGCAAGGACAATACTAGCTTTACTCCTTTTAAATTTTATTAAAAAACATTTTTTTTAGAGACAGAGCTTTGCTCTGTTGTCCAGGCTGAAGTGAACTGGCAGGATTATAGCTCACTGAAGCCTTTAACTCCTAGGCTCAACAAGTGATTTTCCAGCTTCAGCCTCCCAAGTAGCTGGGATTACAAGTGCTATACCAGGTTTTTTTTTTGTTTGTTTGTTTGTTTGTTTTTTAAGATAGCGGTCATAATATGTTGCCCAGCCTGGTCTCAAACTCTCGGCCTCAAGTGACCCTCCCATGTTGGCCTCCCAAAGCATTGGGATTACAACTGAGCTGTCTTCAATTTTAGTTTTATTAACAACTGTTATTTTTCATATACTGGTTGCTCATGCAGTGAGGAAAAACAGCAGTCTACAGGGGCTACTTCAATTACAGCATCAGCTATTGTACAAGACTTGAATGAATATATTGCATGTAATTTCTATGAATTTTGAAGAAAGGAATGCAGCATGTGTGGAAGGATCTAACCTAATAGGTTCCATTCTACCGCCCAAAGTTACTAAAGTCAGTCCACTAAACAGAATTGCAGACTTGTTTTTTTGTTTTTTTTTTTTTTGAGACAAAGTCTCACTATGTTGCCCTAACAGTAGAGGAGAACTCACAGCAACCTCCAACTTGCTTAAGTGATTCTCTTGCCTCAGCCTCCCAAGTAGCTGCGACTACAGGTGCCCACCATAACGGCTGGCTATTTTTTGTTGCAGTTGTCATTTTTGTTTTAGCAGGCCTGGGCTGGGTTTGAACCTGCCAGCATGTGGCTGGCCCCGTAAGCACTGTGCTATGGGCCTGCAGAACTGTTTTTATCAAAAGATTCAGTTGTCTTATCAGATGTTATACTTGTTTTGTATCAGTATAAAATAATAAGCATTGTGGATCACACTTCTTTATAATCTCATATTTCTATAAATATTGATAGGAATAATCACTTTTTTAAATTTAGGGAGAATTTGTTAGAAGCTAACAACTAATTTTTTTTTTTTTTTTTTTTTGAGACAGAGCCTCAAGCTGTCCCCCTGGGTAGAGTGCCATTGCATCACAGCTCACAGCAACCTCCGACTCCCGGGCTTAAGCGATTCTCTTGCCTCTGCCTCCCAAGTAGCTGGGACTACAGGTGCTCGCCACAATGCTGGGCTATTTTTTGGTTGCAGCTGTTATTGTTGTTTGGCAGGCCCAGGATGGACTCAAACCCGCTAGCTCAGGTGTATGTGGCTGGCACCTTAGCCGCTTGAGCCACAGGTGTGGAGTCAACTAATTTTAATAGTATTGTTAATCTACACTGGTTTGCTAAAAGAGATCTTGCCCAAGAGGATGTGCTCAATTTTCTTGTGCCCTCATATTTCAATGGCCTTCCTTACAGCATCTCTGTGCTCGTTTCTCCATCTATGCTATGAATACAGCCATATCTGTCCTTGGAAGAAGTCAAAAGATTTTAAAGAGAGCAGCATCATTTGAAGGCAGCATTTTATTTTAGAATATTATATTTTTTTGCAAAGAGCTCCTCAAAGTTAGTTTTTGGTTTTTTGCTTGTTTTTAAAATAAATTTATTCTGTGAACAGAGAAAATACAAACCTTAAAAGCTAAATATATGCCCTGTGGAATAGGATTTGACTTGAAGACATCAGTATGAACTCATATTTAGCCTAATATACACAGAAATAATTATAGATATGTATACATACATGGGTTAATAAACATATTTCCCAACTCTGTCTGCTGGGAGGGTCTAGAAACTGTGACATTCCAGTAGCAACAAGCATACCCAGTGCCCAGATCTTGGTTTCTAAGTACCTTTCTCAAATAAAAAGAACAAAGCTCCGTGAAGCAAGGGCTGACTCTAGGATAGGGCAAGGAATATACAAGGGAGCCTGGAGCATTTTGTAGTGACAGAAAGAAGAGCTCAAAAATCAAAAGATTGGGCATATCCAAAGGGACTGACAGAAGTCCCAATAGCTGCAGTGAAATAATTTGAGAAAATAAAATACATTACCCAAAGTATAAAATATACATACACGAGTCCATACTGATATGTATCAATCATGGTAGGGGAGACAATCTTTGTTACAGAAGAATTCCAAACACTACACACACACACACATATATATGTATTATATATATATGTATATTAGTATTGCATCTATATAATAGATATATACTATACTAGTACCAAATACTATACATATATATAAAAGTATCTATAGACTTTCTCTTCCAGGAGGTTGAATATAATCTTGCCCATCTCCCACCAACTGGACTTGGTGACTGGTTTCTGAAGAACAGAATTGAGGAAAAGGAAAATAGCAACTTTACAGCAGAGGAAACCAGACACTGCCTTAACCAAGTTTCCAAAATTAATCTAACAAGCAGATAGTATGTAACTCCTGACACAATGCATTGAAAAGGACCCTTCGTCTGTGTGGTATATTATTCTCAAAAATTTGTAATCCTAGTCTAATCATGAAGAAACATCAGACAAACCAAAATTGTGGAATATTCTACAAAACACCTGACCAGTATTCCTCAAAACTGTCAAGGTTATGAAAAATAAGGAAAGACTGAGGAGTCATCACAAACTAAGGGTTCACTAGGTATAACTAATGCAATGTATGCTAGATTAGATCCTGGAAGCAAAAAATGACATTAGTGGAAAAATTAGTGCAATCTGAAGAATAGAGTTTTGTTAATAGTAATTACCAATGTTTGTTTCTGAGCTCTTGACAAGTGTTTCAGGATTACATAAAATGTTAACATTAGGGAGAACTGGGTGAATGTTATACAGAAACTTTCTTT